TGAAGCTTCCTGGCTGGCTTGCTGGCCTGACAGCGGCCGTTCCCTGAGCCGTGGCACGTCCCCCGTACTTCCAAGCCGGGTTGGGGCTGGCTCGCTTGCGCGTTCTCTCGGTGCGCTCCCCCCACCCTTCTCTCTTTCCTTTTCTCTTGGCCAGTATATTTTTAGGTCATTGGAGTGGAGGGGTAGGTAATCCCCGGGCTCAGGTTCCAAAGGAGGCGGGTTCCGGCCGGAGGTGGAGTCACTTTTTCATTTAAATCCCCGACTATAAAATGGGTTTAAGGAGAAGCGGGATCTCATCAACTGAGCCGCCGAGAGGAGTGGTGGGAGTGAGCGGCGGCGGGGGAGGCGCGCGGGAGGCTCGGGACCACAGCGTGGGTGCCCAGCGGAGCTGCTACTCCTGCCGCTGCGATGCTACACTCCGTGGGCGCCCATACCTTGCAAACGCTCAGCCAGGTGGCCGCCTTCGTGCTCCTCCTGCCGCGCTTCCTCCTGACTGCTGTGATGCTCTGGCTCCTGGATTTTCTCTGCATCCGGAAGAAACTCTTGCTGACCGCGGCGGCGACACCCGGTGAGGAGCAAGAGTTGGCGGCGGAGGACGGCGACTCAAGCGCGGGGAGCTGCCCGCCGGACGACCCTCCCCTGTGCGTGTCCGACTCCAACCGCATGTTCACGTTGGAGTCCCTCAAAGCCGTGTGGCACGGGCAGAAACTGGACTTCTTCAAGGCGGCGCACGTCGGCGGGACGGCGCCCAACCCGGAGGTCATCCAGCTGGACGGGCGCACGCGGCTGCGCATCCTGGACTACGCCCGAGGCAAGAGGCCGCTGATCCTCAACTTCGGCAGCTGCACCTGACCACCCTTCATGGCGCGCCTGCGCGCCTTCGAGCGCCTGGCCGCGCATTTCGTGGACATCGCTGACTTCTTGCTGGTCTACATCGAGGAGGCTCACCCTTCCGACGGTTGGGTCAGCTCGGACGCCGCTTATGACATCCCCAAGCACCAGTGCTTGCAGGACCGGCTGCGCGCAGCTCAGCTGATGAAGGAAGGCGCGCCGGGCTGCCCGCTGGCCGTTGACACCATGGACAACGCCTCGAGCGCCGCCTACGGGGCGTACTTCGAGCGCCTCTACATTATCCAGGAGCGGAAGGTGATGTACCAGGGCGGCCGGGGCCCCGAGGGCTACAAGATCTCGGAACTCCGGCGGTGGCTCGACCAGTACAAGAGCAGCCTCCGGGCAGGGCCCAGCACCGTGGTCGTCCAGGTGTAAGGAAGAACCCGCGGCGGACGGAAAGCGGGAGAGCGGACGGGAGGGAAGAGGGGAGCTCTTTTCCCGCCCCTTTCCGTAACTCCCGAGAGGCTCTGTGTGAGTTTTCATGCAAGACGTGCCCGAGACTCTTCGTTATTCAAATCATGTTGATTTGCCAAGCATTTGTTATCGACATCCATTTCCACGTGCGGTTTTGTTTTCCTTCATTTCCTTACTGCGTGCGTGAACGAATAGATCTCTCTTTTGTGTGGGGGGAAAACGCGTTTACTGTTTTTTGAGGGCCTGTTTCTGAGCGTGTGCGTGCACGTGCGGGCTACGGGTGTACGTGTGCGCGCGTGTTTCCGATGGGAACGGTCTTCTGCCGTGCACGTGTGTCTGTCGGAGAGAAGTTTCGCGTGCCCGAGCGGTGTGTGTTCTCTCTCTCTCTCTGCTGTCCTGGCAAAAACCTTGGCTGGAGTTTCTAGCGTTTCTTTATGATGACCGGTTTTGAAATGGTTTTGGAGCGCCAGGAAACCGAGTCTGAAATTGGGAGACGCTAGAATTGCCACTTTTGTTTTTGTGGAGAGCAAACAAAACACAGAAAACAAAAAAACACAAAGTATTTATGTGATCTCTGAGCTGGTTTGTTGAGCTTCTTTTCTCTTTTTTGTAAAATACCCGTTTTTTATGAGCTTTTTATAACATTATTAATAAAGATGATTGAATAAAGTATGCCTCATTTGAATCTTTCTAACTGAAAGGAGGAGGAGGAGGTAAGGCTCCAAACGATACTGCAATTTACTCCACTTGGGTCTGATGAGGGTCACAACAGGCTGGGAGAAACAGCCCAGGAGGGACCCACATTGGGGGAAGATGGTTTAAAGTATTACCCTGTGCTTGTGGGTAGGTAACCATTTATGAAAGAGCTTTGAGGAATATTCCCAGGGTGACTCAGACCTCTGATTTGGGGAACCTGCTTCCAAACAGGTGTGATCTTAAGCAAAGGAGAGGGATACCTTGATGGGTGTGAAGAGGTCAGTGCTCTAGCATTGCCTTCCGTTGGGGTCACAGCTGCATGAGCTGCCCCCTCCAGTTTGCCCATTGCCTTCCGACAAGGTGGAGGATTGGCACCACTGCCAAAGACTTAACTGGGAGGTATGCAGGTTTGTCTACCCCAGAAGGCAGGATACCTGGCATCACCCCTGGATATGTTGGGAGAGACAGCTTGTATTTTATGACAGGAGCCTTTTAGGATTTGCCCATTGTGCTAAGCCATTGTTTGTTTGAACCATGGTTTCTTAAGCAGAACTTGCTGGCTTCATGCAGTATCCTGAATCATAAACAGAGGTTCACAAATCACAGTGGCTGAGTTTATGCAATACTTAAACCACATAATGGTTTAGTATTGTATGAACCTAACCACTGTTTTATGAAGGCTGTAGGAGCTAAAAAAACGAAATAGGTCCCCAAACACTTTCCCCCTTCCCATTCAAGTAAGGTTTACACAATTAGAATTCTGCATTCGCTGTGCATTGAAGCCCATTTAGCATGCAACATACAGGGTAGGATTAAAAGTCTAGAAATTAGGTGCCTCTCTTCTGTAAAGTTTGTTTATTCTTAAACCATTTGGGGGGGAAAATGGACTTCAAGGGTTTGCTACTATTATCCTGTGCTGAATATGTAGATGTGTAGAGAAGGAGCCAAAAATATCCCCACTGTGCTGGGTATATTTGTTAAGGGAGAAGATTGTGAGGCATAAATCATTTTAACTTGTTGGGTGGGCTGTCCTCTGAAGCAAGAGGAATAGTTGGATTCCCAGACAATGCCTCTTAATATCTGTGGGCTATCTACACCCCCGCCCGGAAAAGAACTGCACACATCCAGTAATCCTTGAGGCTTTGGTTACATCACACCTTATCAGCATATTGTTCGTTGTGGTTACTGATGAACAGTTACCTGCTCCACGGATTTCTGGTACTAATCATGAGTAATCTTTGGAAAGAATTGAGTAAAAGGGTTGTGAAAAGGCAGGTGACCTTTCGGAAGGGAATTAATGCCAAGAGAAAGGAACGGATGCTTCCATTCTCATTTAGGAGCAGTTTTCTCAGTTGCAACTCTTCCCTGCACAGCTATGGTGTGGATAGGTCTAATCTTATGCAGCACAACTTCAAATATTTGCATGTGGTTTCAAGTATCAGTAATGTTGTGTTGTAGCAGGGAATTGCAGAGTTTGTTTCTTAGCTGACATTGCACATACAGGTATGCTCAGCAGATATTAAAATATTTTAGAGTAAAGAATTCTGATGTTACCCTGTGTGGTCCTTATCTGTCTCCCCCCATCCACAAAAGAGTTGCCTGCTCCGATATACACAAAGCCTTTAAAAATGCCTAATAGTTTTCCACTTTCCTACCATTCTAGATTCCTTAAGTCTATTCTGATCATTTATTGGTTTTATTAATGAGGAAATCTGCCTGCTCTACCATAATTTTCCACATCCCATAAAAAAACTGCTTTATTCTAAGCAATATGACCTTAATAAATCTGGGCAGCCAACTGCTTACAGCTGGGCTAAGAGCTATTATCTGTACTTGTTTCATTATTATCTTCAGGGTACTTTGTTTACTTGAATTGAGCAAAGAGATATTACTCAAACCCAAGTGCTAATTTATGTATTATTTATAATTATTGTATAGTTAGATGTTATATAATAAAGAATACCAGCCAAATACAGTCAGACCACCAACAGAACTGCAATGTTTGAACATGTAACCTATAATCCAAAACTCGCATTTCTAAACATAGTGGTAGGTTATGTGACTTTTGAGTCACTCTGAATTCTCATACTACTGCTGGCTAACCATTTCAAAAATTGGGTTGCAGCCCTGAAAATTTTGAGGTGAAATCTTCCTCGAATCAAGCTCAACTCCTGGAAATACAGCTCCAGGAATCAACATCCTGGGAATTCCCTTTCATTTCTTGAGAACAATACAGAAGTAGTTTACTCAGCAGTCTCCATGGAAGCAGAGGATCAAAAAAAGGATTTTTTTTTTCATTGCATGAACAAAAAGTGTGGGGTTTGGACTGTGATGTCACTTCCAACATCTTCCCTTTTTGGGACACACTGGCCATCTGCAGAAACTGCTTTATTTTGTGATTGTTCAGTTCTCAGTCTAGCCTGGTACTACTTTCTTGTGGTCTCCCATCCAGGTACAAACCAGATCTAGCTCTGCTTATAGCTTTCTTAAGATTAAGCAAAGTTGGTTAGGTGCTGCCACATGATGTTAGACTTTTCTACCAGGACTTGGCAGTGAATCACAGACCTCCTGACTTCACAGGACTTAACATGACTCCTAGGTTAGGACTTGGCAGAAATCTCATAGACATGGCTCAGCTCGAGAAGACTGTTTATTGCAGACATGAATGAAGCCAAAATGAAACTGTTGATTGTGCTTCCCAAATGGCAATGGGCAGTCTTTCTCTTGCACTTACAGTGGCTTAAACCCATCACGTTTTTTTCCTGCCCTTCCCATGAATTAATAGACTCTTTTTGGCCCTTGATAGAGGTGGTGAATATTTACAGAACTACTATCTGTGGCCTGAGAACCACTAACTCTTGCCTTTAACTCACATATGGCGGCTACATGGACACATCCATGTTGTTTTCTTCACAACAGTGTGGAAGTAGTTAGCCGTTACCTTCTTCCAAAGGTGCTTTTAAAAAAAAATTCCAGTTTAACTGAAAAATGTTAGTGTCCCTTTAAAATAGCAGCCTTGTAAATCTGTGGCCATTTTGGTTCTGCCCCTTCCATGCCATCAGGAAACAGCACAGACTGGTTTGTTCTTCCAGCCTCAAGTCCTGGCTCATAAACCCCACAGGGTGGCCAGCAAAGGTGACAATCCAGTCCAGACTTTCCTAACCATTGTATGGTTTATAATAAAGCACAACTTCTATCACAAAAGCACATTTGAAAAGTAATCCTAAGCAATTTTTCCAGCAAAAAAAAAAGAGAGGCACGCGTATGTAGCAATGTTTAATTTGGCACTTACATTTTAATCAGAAAGTTAGTGGTAGTGACAAAATAATTCAGTTACTAAATATTTACCTAGTTCTAAATTCAGTCCTTGAATCACAGTAGGCCAAAATCATGATTTGGTCTTTCCCATTATGTATTTAAGGGTCCTTGAATGGCCCACAGGTTATATCTGTGGCCTTGAACCTGGCTAAGGAAGACATTCTGGATTCTAGCTTTATTCCAGCCTATGAAACCTGGATGGTAGGATTTCTTCATTAATTTGCTATCACTATACTCCACTGATATCATGCCCAGCTTTTCTTCCAATGCATTCACTCTTAAACTGAAAAGAAGCATGCCACTTGGTTAGTTAAAAGCACATCTGAGTAAATTCAGATGAAATCTGCACTTGAAAACAGCATCCAAGCAAAAGTCTGTCGATTTCATCACTGAGCTCAGAAGCCAGGGGTGCCACTAAATGTATACATCAGTGACCTATAGCCGGTCCCAATGTTTTGACTAAAATAGACATTGAATTTGTGAGTTTTATACTTTGAACTGTTGGGTACACTTTAATTTTCTTTATTATAATTATATCTCTATCTTTCCTCCGTAGAACTCAAAGCAACACATACTGTCTCCTTCCCTGTGAGGAAGCTTCCCAATGATTTTGTGAGAAAAATTAGGCTAACAGTGTGGTAAGCAAAAAAACAGAAAACAAAACAAAAAAAACACAGCTGTTATTTCCAAATGTTCCATTCCCAGTGTGTTTCAGAAAATAATTTTAAAAATTTAAAATATTTTTTCTTAATTTATTAAGGAACACACATGGTGGACAGTGCTTTAGTCCCCAGTGATTTTGTTTTTGTTTTATTAAGAATGCGACTGTCCCAAAGTTATCTAGCAAATATAAGAACGAAATGAGGACATGGATTGATTCTGGTGTCTTCTGAATATATTGGGCTTGTTAACTTCAGCCATGCTGGTTCTGAGGATTCTGGAGGCTGAAGAGCAACAGATCTGGCATATCCAAAGGGCAATAAATCCAAGAAGGCTGCTGTAACCACATACCACCCCCCACTCCATTGCATTCCTTCTGCTCTTGTGGAGGAGACATTTTATTTTAAATCCAGGGACACCGTCTCCAGGTTGTTAACACCACACCAACCAGAATGGCTTGGTGGAGAATCTGGATAACGAAATTGTGCTGCAGAACCTCAGGAGCTGTTGCATGAGACGATGTAAAGTAGCTGCTTCCTGCAACTTCTATTTATATCTCCAATCCTGAATGAGAGGAAGGCCCAGAAATCCAGGTAGAATTTCCCAGGAAGCATAGACCTACTTCCAGTGTAGATATAATTGTACTCATATATTTAGCAATTATGTGAATAATTGATATTAAATAAATAGATGCAAAGAGCTCAATGTGTCTTAGAACCTCTGTTTCTAATCCAGCTTGCATCTATTATTTTAAAACATTAATGAAGCTGTTAATTGCATGAATGATACTACTTCTGTTTTGGCCTTCAAAGTAGCATTATTTATTTGGATTTATTAGATTTAGATTTATAAACCACTTGATTCCATCATTTTGATGGGGGGATGGAATAAATATTCCACCCAATAGGCTTACATCACAATCAGGTTTTGTTGCAATGTTTTTATATCTTAGCAATGCCAAATAAAATAGCTTT